AGAAGGACCTGGACAGCATTTGAGACTGACAGTATGAAGACCTATCATATATACTGTCAATGTGATATCCTGCAGGCCACACAGGGAGCAGCACAGATCTACACTAGGGATCGAACACCACTGCTGTGCTTAGCTGGACCTTCACTAGAGCCCACCTTTTGCTCTGTAACTAGATGAGCTGCAGTTGTGCTGATCAGGCCCCATGAAAATCCATCCAGTTAAAACATGTTTCTACAAAGAAATGTCTACAAAAAGACCCAATAAGGTAGCTTTCACTGTTAGTTGGAACATGCAAACTAAGCCCTTCCTTAGCTACAGTAAACTCTGGCCTGTGTATATCCTGTGTCTCAGATTCCCACCATAAGTGAGCATAGTGCATTGGTGGACCTGAGGGTCACTGTTAAGGATTGGCCCTGTCCAGAAACTTGTGCCTAGAATGGGGATTAGAAGATGATTTCTGACACCTCTCACAGAAAATGTATATGAACGTGAAAATTTTTCATGAGTGAAGTGTTGTGAACAATCACATGCACTGACTAAATACAGGGTCTACTGACAGTTGAGGTTTGCTATTAAATAAAGTTGCTACTGATGCAGTGACAGGAATGAACCCGAGCTTTTTCCATATAGAGTGTCATGAAAATTTTCTGGGTTTTGATGGGATATGTTTTGCATATTAATTGAGGTATTGGTGTGGATGAACTGCACACATGGAAAGTTTACAGTTTGATCTATTTACACATATACAAAATCATGATCTAATTAAGATGGCTTTTTTGGTTTAAACATGTAAACATTGGCATCTTGACATGTATATATCTAGAGAAACAAAAAATGTGCAAAAACAAACACAAAGTCACACTCAGAATCATGTTGCATGAATGCACACAGAAACACATGTATAAAACTCTCATTGACCTAACCAATTTGCTCAACATACACAGGTGCTTCAAGGAAATATGCAGAATGCCATAGATTTTTTTTAAATTAATTTGGACTACAACCCCCTCACTTATCATTCTCAAGGAGGTAGTGGAATCACTGAGACTCTACACTCAAAAGGAAGGAAGACTTTCTGACTCTTGGCATCATCTACATTTTGCAACAGAAAGAGAGTGAGGCCAGGATACATATCAACTATGGATCCTCTTGAATCCTCCGGAAAATACTAAAAGGTGTCACTATGAAGATCAAGCCATGCTCTGTACTGTGTGCTCATATATTTTGTTTACTTGGTGACATTAGAAAATCCAATGAGAATGTGGGCAAATCAAGGGAACACACAGCAAATGCACTCTCACCAAATGACACCAGCTTTTCTAGGGGATTTGTGTCACAGGTCTATATTAGGTGATAATTAAGGAATTTGATGGCCAGGAGGGAAAACCACAGCCAGGCACAAAGCTTGATATCATACAGTGTGTAGTTGATAAAGTTTCTTGTTAATGTTGCCTTCAGTGAGGTCTCATTTGGCAACAGACACTCCGGTGAGAATCTGCACACTCAGCAAATTGTATATGTCATCTCAAGGAAACCATATCATATTACAAGAGAAAGAGAAACTAAAGAGCAACACTTGGATTTCATAGGAAGATAAGCAACCTTACAATGGCTTTTGATGGGGTCTCTCGACTCATGCTTTCTTCAGGAATGAACTCCACCATGCCATTTGGGGGAACTAGGAGGATGCAGAATAACGATTAGTATACTGATTTATTGCTTATGAATAGTTCAGGGCATTACTTGATATGGACATCAGTGAAAATATACAGCAAAGATAAGAACAAGAATGAATGAGAAGCACAGC